CAGAGAGGCAGGCAGAGAGGGACGAGGAAGCAGGCTCCCTGCTAAGCAGAGAGCCTGATGCGGGGCTCGATCCCAGGACCCTGAGATCTGACCCTAGACGAAGGCAGAGGCTTTAACCCACTGAGCCATTCAGGCGCCCCTGTAGTTATGCTTTTTAAAGGCTTTATCTTTGGGGCACCTGGGTGGCTCAGTTGTTAAGTGTCTGCCTTCGGCTCAGGTCATGATCCCAGGCCCCACATTGGGCTCCCTGAGCAGGGAGCTTTTCCCTCTCCCTCTTCCTCTGTGTTCTCTCTCCCTCTATTGGTCTCTTTCAAGTAAATAAATAAAATCTTAAAAAAAATAAAGGCTTTATCTTTCATAGATACACATTGAAATAGTTGTGGATAAAATAATATCTTAGATTTGCTTCAAAATAATCCAGGAGTGAGAGAGGAGGAAGGTACATATGAAACAAGGTTGGCCCATAACTTGGTAATTTTTGAACCTGGGTGATGGGCACATCCTGCTTATTATACTATCCTCTCTCTTTATATATGTTTGACTTTATCTACAATAAAAGGATTTAACGATGAAAAATATAAGCATTTTTCAACTTGTTTGGTAGTCAAGGAAGCCCAGTATGAATATCAATTCTGAGGTAATGTTGCTGGGTTGTTTAATTTTGTTTAAAAAAAAAAAAAAGATTTGTGGGGCGCCTGGGTGGCTCAGTTGTTAAGCATCTACCTTTGGCTCAGGTCATGATCCTGGTGTCCTGGGTTGGAGCCCTGCATTGGGTCCCCTGCTCAGTGGTGGGCCTGCTTCCCCTCTCCCACTCCCCCTGCTTGTGTTCCTTCTCTCACTGTTTCTCTCTCTGTGTCAAATAAATAAATAAAATCTTAAAAAAAAAAAAAAAAAGGTTTCTTTATTGGGCACCTGGGTAGTTCAGTCAGTTAAGTGTCTGCCTTTAGCCCAGGTGGTGATCCCTGGGTCCTGGGATTGAGCCCCACATCGGGCTCTCTGCTCAGTGGAGAGCCTGCATCTCCCTCTCCCTGTGCCTGCCACTCCCCCTGCTTGTGCTCTCTCTCTGTGTCAAATAAATAAAATCTTTTTAAAAAATTTATTTATTTATTCTAGAGAGAGCAAGTGAGATCTCGTGCATGGGCAGGGGGAGGGGCAGAGGGAGAGAGAGAGAGGAAAAGCAGACTCCCACTGAGCAGGGAGCCCGACATGGGGCTCGATCCCAAGTCCCTGAGATCATGACCTGAGTGGAAACCAGGAGTTGGACGCTTCACCAACAGAGCCACCCAGGCGCCCCTGTTGCTGGGTTGTTTTAAAATAACATTTCTGGACAGTCCTTCAAAATTCAAAAATTATTTTTAAATAGCATTTTGTGTGACCTGGGTTGGTATGGGTAGGTTTTGAGTAATCCAGTAAATGTTGACACCTATTAGAAACATTTAAATTTTTTTCCACAGACAAGAGAGAGAAAATCCTTAGGACTGGTCACGGTTGTTTGCTGAGGCATACCACCCAGGCTGCTCTGACCCTAAGTCAGAGAACAAGAGGGATGCCAAAGAAATGAAATACCGGTTGGATTTTGGCAATTATTTAATATACCATTGCTGCACCACATCAACCTGCTAGGAGGAAACAGAATTTGTGTTTGATTTAAACTAATTATTTTTTTTCTTTTTTAAAGATTTATTTGTTTATTTGAGAGAGAGCTCAAGAGAGTGGGGATGGGGTGGGGGAGAGGGAGAGACTTGAGCAGACCCTGCACTGAGTGTGACACGGGGCTCCATCCCAGGACCCTGAGGTCATGACCTGAGCCCAAACCCAGAGTCAGATGCTTCGCTGACGGGCACCTGGCAGGCTCAGTCAGTAGAGCGTGTGACTCTTGATCTCAGGGTTGTAAGTTCGGGCCCCACTTTGGGTATAGAGATAACTTTTAAGTAAAAAAAGAAAGAAATAGTGGCAGCCAGAAACACGTCTGTTTAAAAAATTCATCTTGTGATTTTCTAAGAGATATTAAACATCAGCTAAGGAAACATGTGGTTATGACTAGGACTCAAAGAGTGGCTCAGTCTCCACGGGTTATTAAAACTCCTATCCAAACTAGGACCAAGCATTTCTTTCTTTTTTAAAGATTTTATTTATTCATTGAGAGAGAGAGACAGAGCACAAGCAGGGGGAGAGGCAGAAGGAGAGGGAGAAGCAGGCTCCCCGCTGAGCAAGGAGCTGGATGTGGGGCTGGATCCCAGGACCTGGAGATCGTGACCTGAGCTGGAGGCAGATGTTCAACCATCTGAGCCATCTAGGCGCCCCAGGACCAAGCATTTCTAAGCCAGTAAAAATGTGTAGCTGTGGCAGGGAGAAGGGTAGAAACAGCTTACCCTAGAGAGGTTTACATTCCTAGAGAGGAAAAAAAAACCTTCCTTCTGGAATCTATGCTATAGCACACAGGTACTCCTTGGGGTAGGGTGGGGGGCAGTTACTTCTCATCACACAGAAAGCTCCATTCCCAGGGGTCCCTGCTATCCCCTCCTCCTTCCTTTCCTACATGAGTAAACACCTGGGGGTTTCATCAAAGCTGCAAAGGTTGGTGACGACGGAGAGTGACAGATTGATGCCCTGCAGCCTGGGTGAATAGCAGCACAGTGGCCTAGACCGACCTCATGCCAAACTTAACCTTGGCACCAGAGGCAGTGGCAGAAATGTAAGGGCCTATGTTCACTTTTCAGGAAAGGAGAAAAGCAAGTTATTTCCTGGTGTCCAAACTCAGACACTGGACACTGTACCAAGTGGAATGCTGTTTGGTTTTCCATTTCATGGGTCTGTGTGTGTGTGTGTGTGTGTGTGTGTGTGTGTGCTCATTAAGGGAGTTCTATGCCCACTGTGGGGCTTGAACTCATGACCATGAGATCAAGGGTCATGTTGCTCCACCAACTGAGCCAGCCGGGCACCCCTTGATTTCATGGACTTTCTATAGGGAGTCATAGCAAAGAAGAAATTATGTGAAGAAATAAAATACCATCAGAAATTGAGGGGAAATTGAGGCAAATAACAGAATCACTGAATGACATCATAGAGAACACCCTTGGGAGCCTACAATCCAATTTCCTTACCTTATGATGATGGCAAAGCAGACCCAGAAAGGGGACCTGACTTTCCCCAAGTCTCAGCAAAATAAGAACAGCGTGAGCCTTAGAACTCACTTCCGATTCCCAGAGCAAGGCTCTTCATGCTGTTTCGATAAATACGGTATGTGGCATTGCTGGGGGGTGGGGGACCGGGCAAAGCCACAGCTTCACCAGGTTAAGGACTGGGCGGAGCCCCCCAAGCAGGCACTTGGAAGAGCTTCAGGGAGGCTGGCTGGCATAAACCCATCCTGAGTCCTGCCAACCCCAACCTCAGGGGGTCATTGTAGGTGGGAGAACTGGCACACAGGTCTTTCTGGTCTGCATTAAGGCTCTTGAGGGAGGACTCACCTAAGTTCAGAAATTTGAAAGCAACCTGGAACATCAAGGCACAGATTGGCCCAGGCTGTCCCCTCTAGGCTAATTCCCAAATTTCTCACTTAGGCAAGTCAGGAAGAACTTCATCTTGGTCCCAGCCTCTGGTGGAGGCTTGGTGGCAGCCTCTATCAGCTTTGCCCTCTAGACCTGTCCGTTTGCCCCAGAGACGCTCACTGCTTACGTGGTCCTGTCAAAATGTAACCTCAAACCATGTCTGTCAGCATGGACTGGACTCTAGCCAACATAATCAGAGGACTGGGGAGAGGGCATACTGACGCCCTCACTGCAGGACGGGAGGGACACCCTCTCTACGCCAACTCTCCCTGCAACCCTATAGATCTTTTAAAGGAGCTGAACCTTGGAGCCAGCTAGAGGTGTACATGGGGTAAAGACATCACAGATTGTCAGGGCCCTCTCTTATTCCCTAAGATCCTGACACCCGCAAGGATGGGGCACCCTTAAACAACCATGAGGAGTGGGGAGACAAACCAAGTAAGGGCAAATGAGGCTGGGTAGAGACCCACCAGCCTCTGAAAACAGGGCAGAGGGAGCGCCTGAGGATTCAGCCAGTTCCATGAACCTGTATAGAGTGAGCACAAGACTCACACACTCACCCTACCTTCCCCAGTGCTAGCGGGCCAGGGGAGCCAGGCCGACCTCCAGAGCTCACACTGTAGGGCTTGGGACCTGGGCAAGCGTAGGAACTTGTTACAGCTTCATTCACTGTCTCTGTCTTCCCTAAATAATCCAGCCAGCAGCACCCAAGACCTCAAGGTGCAGAGGACACAGTTCTTGCTGTCACGTGAAACGCCACGTCCAGCCTGCCCAATTCCTTGCCCCTTTCCCAGCCGCAGGAACTTTCCTTCCCCCCAAAGAGGCTTTGGATCAGATCTCCAGGCTGAGAGACCGGCCCCAGCCCGCCCGATCAGGACGGGCCTGGAGCACGGGCGCGGCTGCGTCGTGCCGGGACAGCTCCACGCTGCCTCCTGGGCCGCCGCGGGCCACTCAATTGCAGACCCGGCTGGGAGAAGAAAGTGGCTGACCCCTCCGAGGGCCAGCAGGGAAGCGCCAGACTTTGGGTGAGGGCAGTCAGGACGAGGGAATCGGTTTGGCTGGGGCATGAATGAGTGAGTGAATGAATGAATGAGTACACGAATGAATGAATAGCGATGGTGGCGGAGACGCGGTAAGAGGCGTCCCACGGAGGGTGCCCATCCTGATGCTGCCCGGACTTCTCTCATCCCCCAGCGCCTACAGCGGGGCCATCTGCCCCCTCGCCAACACCTCGCAGCCCCCGGAGGAGCCCGGGCCCGTGCTGCGCAGCTCTGGAGCCGAGCCCAAACTCCGGCGGCCGGGAAGTGTCTGCCCCGCGGTCAGAATGTACCTAGGCGTAGGGCGCCCCGAGGCCGCCTCGTCCCGCCGGGCAGCGTCCTCTCGCGGCAGCCTCCGATATCCTCCACCCGCCGCCCCGCCGCCGAGCCTAGCCCGCGGGCCTCAGCCCCTTACCTGCCCGCCTCGGTGGCCTCGCCCCGGCTCAGAGCGGTCATCGCCGCGCCTTCAACAAGCGCCGGGCACCGCGCGGCCAGACCCGGCGCCCGTCGGCCCGCCTCCGCCCCAGCCCGCCCATTGGCTGCTCGCGCGGAACAGGCCCCGCCCACTGGCCGTTCGCGCGGGACGGGCCCCGCCCATTGGCCGTTCCTCCTCCACTTCTCTGTCCCGAGCTCTGCGCAGATTCTACCAGTACCTCCAGACCCGCAAGTCCGGGTGGCCCGGGCCTGGGACTTCACCTCCTGCCCCTCCCAGCAGATAGCTCGGGTCCCCTCCAGGTTCTTCCTCCTCAGCCCTACCACAGCCAACTGCAGCAACCGGTTCTCCCCCGGCTCCAGGGACAGCTGCTCCCCCACTATAGCCCCTACCTCCCCCCAGGATCTCCCACTCCGTATAACCCTCCCCTGTCGGGCTCCCCCCTGCCCCTGACCCACCTCTAACCCCGGTGGACACGGACCTCCCAGGAAGGGCCCCCTCCCCCCCTCCTCTGTCTTCACCCAGAACCTCCCACCCCCACCCCAAGCTGCAAACCCTCCTTTAGAACTCTGTTGGACCCCAGTTCAGAGGCCTGTGCTATGGTCCCCATCTCCGCTGCCACCTCCCCCCACGAAACACACTTTTTTTGTAGGATTAACACAGTTTTTACAATTAAAAAAAAAAAAATCACTGATCACTGATTCTTGAAATACACTCCCACATCCATGATACACACAAAATGATGGGTTATTAAATCTTGCTAACCCATCAAAAACTAACTTAACATGGTAAAAGTAATCACACACATGTACTTCTCTCTCCATGTAATGTAACTTCCAGTTTGAAGCACACAACGTTGAAGTGCCCTTATGGGTTAAAGGTGCACGCCCAACAGAGAACCATGTAGATGGTCAAGATTTTATTTTTTTTATTTGATGGTAACAAGGAAAGCTGCAGTAAATGGTGACTTTTCTATCCAAGCAGAGTAACTAAAGACAGCTATGAAATCTGCAAAGAAAACTAGAGACCAGGACAAAGCCTCCTGACTCTGAGCTCCAGGGTAGGTTTCAGCTTCTCCCCACAGCACCAACAGGACAGGAGTTAGGGAACACCAGGACATTTTAAACAGGATAGTCGGGAAGTTGGACAGCCCAGGAGGCGGAATGCTTTTGCGCATTTTTCCAAGTTGGGTCCTGAGGAGGGACTGATGGCCAAAAAAGCTGAGTGGCCCGATGAGACAATATGCTGGGCCTTGAGAATGAGGCCAAAGCCCTATATTCCTGGAGCCCACCCGACCTTCAAGACCTGTGCCTCCTCCCACCAGGTAGGGCTTGATTCTTGAGGGGTCCGGAGAAGTAAGGTGCAAGCCAGATTCCGTTCCCTTCCTACACCTCTGAACCCCTTGGCCCTGTTTTGTCATGGAAGGGGGGAGGGTACTGGCAGACAGGGGGGCACAAAGGGAGCCCAGAGAGAAATATTCTGAGCAGAAGCTGGTGTTCTCCTACAGTGCCCTTACTAGGAACATCTGGTGACGATCTAACCCACCAGAGCAGAAGGGAGGGGACATGTCACTTGCCCTCTCCTCTTTGGTCCAAATAAGCCAGTAAAATGTCCCAGCTGAGGCTCACAGACCCAGCTACCACCTCCTCAGGGTGCTGAAGGGGTACGTATCTCTAGACAGTCATCTCCTCCTGTTTTCCCAGCACCTCTGTACCCCCCAGAGGACAGGAGGGCGGGTGGCCTGGGTCACCACACAGAAGTGACCACCAGGAGGTGCAAGGTTCTTGCCGTTTTCGCTCTACTCGGAGGGTGGGTTTCACCCCTCACCCCACCCCCATCAGGAAAGAGAGGAACTGGGTGCTTCAGCTGTTGTTTATTGACACACAGGTAGGCTCTATAGCAACGGGCCTGGAGGCGGCTGCAGTAGTGGGGAAAATGGAGGGTGGAGTGTGCCCGCAGCAACAGCTCAGGGTAGGAACAGACGTGCACAACGCACAACAAGGCGGAAGTGGGGGGAGACGGAGGGGAGTGGAGAAGCAAGTAAGGGCCCGAGCCAGTCTCCTTAAACTGGAACCACTGCCCTATGCTGCTACTCTTGCTGGTGGTCTCTTGACCCCAGGCCAGGATTGGGAGTTCTCTGAGCATCTGTTTTCTACAGGAACAGAATGGAGTATGCAAAGGAGGAGAAGCAGGAGCTGTTGCCCTCCATGTTAAGCTCCAGGGCTTCCAGTCCTGCACCCTTCCTTCATCCCTTGCTTGGGTGAGATAATACGATGTGCAACCCAGCTCTGGGTCACCTCACCCGAACAGGGTCCTAAAAAACAGTCATGTTTTACAGGGGCATTCAGCTTCCCTGGCATCCCAGCCCACCAGCGCCACGTGACAGACCCCAAGTGAGCACTACAAGCATTGCTGGCCTAATGGATGGGGTGGGGGAAGGGGATGGGACAGGGGCTGGAGGAGGGGCTCTGGGGCCCATCATGGCACAGGCACGACTCGCATGGTGTTGGTGAAGCCGGAGCCGGGGCGCCACCCAGTCAGCACAATGACCACATCGCCCTTCTTGAAGAAGCCTCGAGCCTTGCCTGAAGGAAGAGAAGAAAGGTTGGTGAGTGAAAGCCAAGCCAGGCAGGTATGCACCTAGCTGACTGTTCAACGCAAGCAGGACTGCAGACCATTACTTCTTCCCACCACAAGGTGGCGCGAGCCTCCCAGCCCAGGCAAAACAGATGAGGGAGGGCAAGATACTTCCTTATCAATGGAATGGCGGAGTTGCCAGGGACCTTTGGACATCATTCATTTTACACTCTAGAGGGTGGAGTGCTTCCTCTCACATCCACTGACGCCTCCTTTTATCAGGAACAAAGGCCATGAGTACATAATCTGTGTGTATGACACCCCACAGTGTAGAAGTTGTGGCTCTTTTTTTTTTTTTTAAACCCTCAGTAATGAGCAAATGCCCAAGAACAGACACCCCTGACTACCCAGGATCCTTTTTGTTTGGGGCCCCCCAGACTGGAAGAGAGAGAGGAGAGGAAGTTGGCAGCTCAGCCCAGAACTTCAGGGAATGGGAAGGAGGATTCAGAGAAGACTCCCAGGGAAGAGAGTGGGGATTCTTGTGCAGCCTAAGGTCTGCCTATTCCCCTTTTTGGAGGACTCTAAGGATATCAGTGCTCAAGCACCCTCCCCACACCCCTCCAGGCTCTAGCCCTTGCTCCCAGCCACGCACCAACATTCATGGCCAAGTTCACCCGAAGGTCCACGTCCTCAGCCCAGGCCTCCTGCACTGGGTCCTTACACACCACAGGGAAGATGCCACGGTACAGGTGGGCCTGGCGAGCAGTCTGGTGATTCCGGGTCACAGCAATGATGGGGGCACGGGGGCGGTATCTAGCCACCTGGTGAGCAGACCTGAAATGGGATGATGGACATGCAGAAGAGACCAATAAATGGTGTTCCAGAGCCACCCGGGATGCCCCACAGGGCCTTCAGCACCAGCTCACCCTCTAATCCAACTCACTCTGCCAGCATGAGACCCTGGCCATTTTAGCATATGCTTCCACGGCCAGGGCAGCCCGTCATCCTCTACCTTCCAAGGAATAGAATACGACCCTTCTTCCTATACTATGCTACCCACCTGCCTTCCTCCCCTTCGTACAGCCCAGGGCCCCAGGATCATACCAACCCAGCATGGACAGTCTCACCCATTCACCCGACATGGCCTACAGTTGGCAGAACCCCCTCCTCTGAACTTTTCTACGCTGGCAGATACAGCCCTGCCCAGCCTCACCAGCACCCACTCCTCTTGCTGCCAACAACAGCTACAAGCCAAGCAGCATGTGAATAGCACCTGACTCCGGATATCTGCGAGAACAGGGTGGAGTCCCCCTGGGAACGTAGCCTAAGCCTCCTCTCCTGCTGTGCCCTCTCCCCCGCCCACACGGCCGCCCTGGCCCTGAGGCAGTCCCAGCAACTGGGCTCGAGAGCCAAACCTGAGGATTTCTGAGCAAGGCTTCGAAATCTGGGTGTTACCCAGGAGGCAAGACCGGGAGATGAGAAGGTTAGTGTGGGAGGCTCTCTGCCTGTGATGGCTCCTCTGGAGGGTAGGGGGCCCCTTGGAGCCCCAGTGCCAGATGCTTCCTTGCACACAGACACTACCCTCGTGGTTGTAGATGTGTCTTGGGAGTTGGGGAAACTTGCTTGCAGGATGCCCTGGGCCTCAGAAGGCAAGCTCTAAGGACACTCAACAGGTGTCAGGGAAACTTAAGCCATGGCAGAGCAGAGACTGCCCCTCTAAAGGCCTGGCCCCATACAAGGCTTTCAGAGGGAAGCAACTGCTGAAGTCGGGACTTGTGAGAGTGAAATCCCAGAAGACTGGAGCTAAAAATAGTCGACCAGCAAAGGCTGGACCTTTCCACAAAGGTCAGCCCTGATGGCGGGAGCTGTCTATCCCGAGCCCTCTGCTGAGGAATGTGCATAGACCTCATGCCCTAGTTCTACAGGCTGCCCCACCTGCCGCTCCTTGGTGCACAGCAACCCTGGAGCATGGGGGCAGCCGGCCTGACCCCCTCCACCCTTCCCTTCCAGGAGTCCCTCGTGGCCCTGGGCGCAGGGATGAGGAGCACACTCCCAGACGGGGGCAGTGACAGAGGCTAACTCCATGACCGGACGAGGAAGCGATCCCAGGTCCAAGGCCAAGCACAGGCCTCGGCTTGGCACGGCACCAGAGTGCCAGCGAGACAATGTGGTGACCTTTCCTGGTCCTGAACCCACTTGCCTTTGGGGCCCAAAGACAGACAGGGACAGATGCACCAACCAAACAGCACGTTGGGAAACAGCACGAATTTTCTGAACAGAACTTTTAAAGAACACATGGTAGCTGAAAGGAACAAAACTGGCCACCTTCAACTTTTTTAAAAGATTGGCTTATAAGTGATCAAACAAGCATTGTAGTGGGTTTATCTGTATGTAGTTCTGTAACTAAGTCTCTGGCTTATCTCGAGGCTGTAAACTCGCTTTGGATGCAAATGCTCCAACACCACTTGGGAGTGCTGCCTGGAGTCCTTCGGGCCCAGGTGGCAGGCCAAGGGGTCTTACCTGGGCTCAGGGCCCTCTGAGCCCCGTTCAATGCACTGCTTTCAGGACGCCCACGGAAGGTGCCCCAGAGCAGGGCATCCCCTGGGAGCCGCTGCCACCTCCTACCTGCCGGACTTGGTGAGGACGATTATGGCCCCACTGCAGCACTTGAAGGAGGCCTCCACGGCGCCCACGGCGGCAGCTTCTGTGGGGTCGCTGGTAATGGGCGCCAGGCGGCGGAGTTCCTCAAATAATTGCAAGTGGTAGATGGCGGCCTCTGCCTCACGGGCAATCTAGGGGAGCAATATCCGTCCAGAGGGACAAGAGGGGGACAGAGCTTTGTCAGAGCTGCGTCACACGGAAGAGGGAGGGAAGAGTCGCACAGACAGCTGGTGAGGAACGTGGCCCTGCATGTGAGGCCAAGAGGCCAACCAGTGGAGGGGCTGAGCTGAGCAAGATCAAGGCTCACAGGAACGAGTCCCTCACCAGCGGCCTGTGCCATCCACTGCGCCTACCGAGCTGAGGGCCCTTTTGGTCCTGCCCTGCCCTGACCTCCCTGGCTGGCTTCCTGCAGAGAAGAGGACCGGAGCCCAGGCCCCAGAGGCAGGGCCCTAGCTGTCTTCTAGATCAGCTGGAACAAGAGGCTGGTATCCTGCGGAGTTACCTGCCCTTAGGGCCCTACCTGCCAGACTCCGTCAGAACTATCAAAGCTGCTGCTAAACACTTATAAGAAGCCTCCACGCTGCCCATGGCCATGGCTTCCATGAGGTCTGTGGAGTGGCTCGAGCCTCGCACAAGTTCTTCAAACAGCTTGCGGTGGAACATGGCTGCCTCAGCCTCACGAGCTATCTGTAAGGTTTAGAGGGGGGAGGAGAGGCAAGAAGAGGGAAGGAGGAGGGAGAAAACGAGAGACAACACACGGAAAGACAGAATGGGGAATTAATCAGAGGAAGGTGAACTTGGGTTAATTGGCTAAATCTGTCCTTCATGCAGATGCAAAGAGGCAGCATGATGGAAGCCCCAGGCTCAGGGATGGGTGGAGAATTACCAGCATCGACTGATTGCTGCTGCCCTCCCACAGAGGGAAAACTGGTTCTTCCCTTTGGGAAGGGGTTTTTGGTTGGGGGCAGGGGCACAGGGAGACAACATGGCGGCAAGCTCCAGCACTCGGCACAGAAACATGCCCAGGCTGGGCCCCACACCACTCCCTGGCAGGACCTGACCATGCTGCCTCATGACACAGCTCACAGGAAGGAACAGGCCCTCCCTCCTCACATGGCTGTTTGGTTACCGCAGAGCTGGGCGCCTGGCTTCCAGGCACGGGGCTGCTGCGAGCCCTTCCAGTGGCCGGCCGTGGGAAGGCGCTGAGTAGCGCCAGAAAGCTGGGGTCAGATGGAGCCAAAGCCACGCAGCTTCACCGTGGTCCAAGCACAAAGGTGGGGAAAATGGCAGACTGGTGAGGGGCACGTGGAACAGCCATGTGAAGGGACAGATGCCTGTGGAAGCACACAGGTGAGCGCAATAGGACACTGGATTAAAATTTAAGGATTATCACAGTCATAAGAAAGCCATTCAGTTATTCACAGACCACCTGCTCAGAGAGCATCAAGAATCGGAAAGACAATGTAAGCTTCAGAGGACTGTAACGCAATCACCAGCATCTTAGAGAATGAGGGGTGTGGGGAGAATCAGAACATCTCATTAACTTGACAGTAGAAGCAAGTACATGACAGGATTTACTAGGTTAAAGGTTTTTTTTCTCTAAGAAAGGATGGCATGCAGTTCAAAGGACAAGAGACGTGAACAGGAAACAGAACCATACCTGAGATTACTAGCCCCTAGTTATGGGTGGTTAATGGCCTCAGATACAAGAGAAAGCAGTGGATGGTTAAGAGAAGCTCTCGGCCAGTGTTAACTGGGGGTGTGGAAAGGAGAGGCCTGCACTGCCTAGCCCAGAGCCCATCACTTATCTTCTGAGCAGGGCCATCCAAGCCCTTGGTTCTCTCTAAGGTGTCAAAGACTGGGATATGGAAAAACAACAGGAGCTCAAGAGGCCAGAGCATGATTCTTATTCTCTGAGCCCAGTACAGGTCCCTGCTGGAGACCCGACCTCATCTCCAGCTGGACAAAGCCCTCTGTTACTGGAGAATACTGGCTCTGAAGCCAGCAGATCTGGGTTCAAACTGAGGCTGTATCATCACATAATCCTCCTCTAGAAGTTGGGGTGACATCTATCACACAGGGAATACAAAGATTACATCAATCTACAACCTAGTAACCTAACACACAGAGTGAAGGAGGAAAGGAAAAGGTCTTTTTTGGGGGAAGGGGGGTATTTATATCTGGGGGACTGCAGGAGAGGGGCATCACACAAAGGGCATGGGGATCCTTTGCTGATGGGAAAGGACTATGAAGGTCAAAGAAAAACCACTTCAGGATCCGAGGCGAGTTTGCTGAGCTCACATTATAAGCACTGACACTGGACCATTTTAAGAAAGTGAATTTGTAGCACTGTCTCCCAGGCCTCAGGAGCCCTGGTAACTGAACCCTAGGTTAACACTTCACTACATCTACAGCAGGACCAGACAGGGCTGGGGAGCTGAGAAGGAGCCAGGCAGTGGGACATGGCCAAGCTGAAGCGCCTTGAGAGCTAGCTGCCTGGTGGGGGAAGAAGGGTCGCCTCCAGGACCCTTCTGGATGCTCTCACACCAGGACCAGCAGGCTCGGTCTCTTTCCACCTGTATCGACTTGTGGACTTGCTGTCAGTCGCCAAACCCCACCTTTCAGCCTGAGGTGAGTGCAGCAGCTCAGCAAAGCGGGCCCGCTGCGGGCGCCATGCAGCAAGGCCAGCTCGGTCACCTGCACACCAGCTCAGTGCACCCAACAGCCTCCGCTACAGGCCAGGGGCCCCCAGTGGAGGCACCTAATACGGGACAGGTGAGGACCCAAGTGGAAGCTGGACAGGTGGGCTGGGAGGAGCCCAGGGCTTTTCCCAGAACAGGACAGAGGCACCTGGGTCCTCTGGGCTGTCCAGAGAAAGGGGCAGATTCACAGTCTCGACACTGGAAGTGAACTGTCTGAGGACAGATGGAGGAGAAGGACGCCTCCAAAACAGGAGGGAACAGGAGAGGGCGTGTGGGCAGGGAAGGCAGAAGGAAAAAAAAAACCAAGACACCCCTCTCCCCCAGGACACACGTCCTCACTCCTGTTGTGACTCAGAGGATCACAAAAGGTTGGCACAGAAGCCTAAAGCCGCTCTGTACAGGAGCTCTCGACCGCCCTGGCCCAGCTTGGCCTGGAGAACTCACCAGGTGCTGCATGCGCACCGCCTCGAGCGGGTAGTCCCCTTTGGCTGTCTCTCCGGACAGCATGATGCAGTCAGCTCCATCCAAGACCGCATTGGCCACATCACTGCCCTCAGCCCGGGTGGGACGGGGCTTCTTGATCATGCTCTCCAGCATCTGGGAGGACACAGAGCACAGTGAGACGTGGCCGGTGCGGCCTTCAGAGAGGAAGGACTACACATTGACTCCCTGGTGTGTGTGTGAGAGGTGGGGGGGGCGGGATCCTGAGAAGAGATGAGGCAGCACCACCCCACGCCCCCCGCAAGCGTGTGAGCATGAAGAGAGGTACATGCCTGCGTCGCACAGATGACGGGCTTTCCGGCGCGGTTGCACCGCCCGATCATCATCTTCTGAGCAAGGAAGACCTTCTCTGCAGGAATCTCAATGCCTAGATCACCACGAGCCACCATGATGCCATCGCTGGCTTCCAGGATCTCATCAAACCTGCCAGAGGGGGTAGGAAGGGAGAGAGACTCTATGGAACAAGGCCACAAGTACAGTGAGGCTCAGGAGGTTCTCCTACGTTCTTGGACTCAGCAGCCCTTCACTGGGAAAGCTGTCCATGACCTCACCCTGGGTGTACAGAGGTGACAGAGTGTCCGAGCTACCTTTGTCTCCCAAGGCAGGCTAACCGTTCCGCCGGGGAGAGGACAAGGTTTCTTCCAAAGCCCCACGGGTTTGTTTCCTTTCCACCTGCATCTCCTGAGGCCCCTCTAAGGGCATCTCTCTACCACCGGCACTCCAGCCAGCACTTCCCAGGCAGAAAGAAGAACACGAGGCCAGCTGACTACTCCTGACACAAAGGTCCGTGACCTTCCAGCCAAAGATACTTGAGGGCTGCTCCCTGAGGCAGCCCCCTCCCACCTGCTGAAGGCAAGAAGATGTGTGGCTTTGCCTGGCCTGCGGCCAAGGTCAGCTAGCATAACCCACAGTTTATCAGGACGGCAAAGAGGACTCCGTGTTGCCTGGTACAAAGGACATCTACACAGAGCTAAGCACGGCAAGGTCAAACAGTGGGTAGGGCCAGTCCTCTCGCCCTCCCCAAGTACACACCTAATCCACACAAGCAGATCTAGGGTTTTAGCTGTGCTGACTTATATTCCTAGTAGGGAGCCCAATAGGAACAGATGTCACCAAGCTGGCGTACTCACTGGCTCTATCTGGGGATACTGGGGAGGTGGTGACGTGGAGCCGGGCCCAGGCACACCGGAGGAGGCATGCGCTTTCCTCCAGAAAGCAGATGATGTGCCAGAGCCAGCCCACGCATCAGGCCAGCTGCTTCCTACGTGAAGACAAGGACACCAGGAGCTTCCACAGATCTCCCAGGTGAGGGGCCAAAAAAGAGGCCCTTCTTAAGAGCCTGCCATCTTCCCGCCATTGGGAAAAATGGTGGCAGAGGTGGAGGATGAGGGGAAAGGTCCCTTTATTCCAGCAAAGCAGCGCTTCTGATCAGAAGGACAGCATGATGGCCTCTAACCCTGTGAGCACGGACCCTGTCCCCCTCCAACACTGGTCCCGGAGTCTATGGGAAGATATACACCTTTTTTTCCCCTTAATACCAATGGCTTGGGGCCCCTGGCTGGCTAAGTCAGAAGAACGTGCAACTCTTGATCTCAGGGTTGCGGATTCGAGCCCCACATCGGGTGTAGAGATTATTTAAACAAACTTTAAAACAAAAATAAAACCAAGTAAATAAATAAATACGAATACCAATAACCATCCGCTCCCCTTCTTCAGGTGTTTGGACTGAGTAGGTCTGGCCTCAGCTAGAGAGTCTGTATTCGGATGGGCAGGTCGCCAGGTCTAGGACCTGGGTATTCATGGGATATGGTCTGCTTTTTACAAAGCGAGGCTGGGGCTGAGGGAGGCAGGGGACAGAGAGGGGCACTCACCTCCGAACTCCCTCGTGATTCTCAATTTTGCTGATTATCTTGATGTTCTTCCCTTTCTCTCCCAGGACCTTCCTGACTTCGTGGACGTCAGATGCCTTGCGGATGAAAGATGCAAACACCATATCTACATCCTGCTCTACCCCAAATTTCAGATCCTGGACGTCCTTTTCCGACACAGCAGGCAGGTCCACAGCGGCCCCAGGGAGGTTCACACCCTTCTTGCTTCCCAAGGAGCCACCGTTCTCCACCTCTGTCAGCAGGAAGTCAGCACCTGCGTGAAATTGGGGATTTGTGGGGGGGGGTATGTTCAGAATTCAGATCCCAACTCACTACCTGTATAATCTTGGCCAAGTCGACTAACCCGTCTGTGCCTGTTTCCCCATCTGTCTGTCAAATTGGGATAATAACTGCTCAGGAGGGTTGTTTTAAAATTTAAATGAGTTACCATGTAAAATGCTTAGCATAGTACCTGACTCTTAAATATTAGCTGTCATTCCCAGGGAGGAAAGCATAAAAGCAGAAACAGTGAGGATGGGTAAAAATTTCAGATGCTCCCTGAGCGGGCAGTGAAGTTGGACTGAAGTGTGTTTTAAAGCACAAGGAATTATAAAAGGAATTCCTGAGAACAAACAGAGTGCACCTTGCTGTCAGCCAAACTTCCCACCGTCCTTGGGTCAGGGGACGTTTAAAGATGGTTCCAGAGCATGAGGTGCCGCCTCCTGTACCTACCTTTCTGCTTCACCTGCAGAGAGATAAGCCCGTCGTCCACGTAGATCTTGCTGCCCACTTCCACCACCTTGCAGATGTTCTTGTAGTCCAGCCACAGAATGTTCTCGTCGCACTTTTCCATGTAGGCATTGTCCAGGGTGATCTTGAGCGTGGCCCCTTTCTTCAGCTCCACCTCCGCAGTGCCGCTCTACAGACCAGAGTGTAAGCTGCGAGCCCACAGAAAAGCTCTTCCTCCCAGGGAACCATGCTCGTATCTCCGCCAGAAGTGACAAGAAAGCTTCTGGCTCTGGGAATCACTGATGGTGTTCTCAATTTTACCTCAAAGAAGTCACCCAAGGAAAACCTACAATGTTTTAGTCCCACTATGTAAACGATGGGGGGGTGGGGGTGAAGGACAGAGACTTGGAAACAGGTTTTTAGAGTAAAAAGAGCGTCTCTCTATGTGTTAAGCCAAATACGCCAAATCAGCCTTTCTGACAGTGATGAACAGGACTCTCCCGTCTAGGATCTGAACTCCGAGGAGCGCCTGAGCTGGGCAGACTGCAGAGGCTGGCTCTCTGGAGCCTGCACCCTCCTGCGCCCTCCCTCTCGCTGCTCCCCATGATACTCACGCCCTTGATGAGCCCCGTTCGGATCTCCGGTCCCTTGGTGTCCAGGGCGACGGCAACCGGCCGGTAGAGAATGGGGTCGGAAGCAAAGCTTTCCGTGGCTGCACGCACGTTCTTGATGGTCTCTGCGTGGTACTAGGGGGAAAGAAGGAATCTGGAACGGGTGCTCCCACACGAGGACCCAGCGCTAGAGCTGAGGCGGATCACTCAGGAAAGGCCTGTGATGTTCTAGACCACCTTCCGCATCTCGTGTCAGGCTCAGCCATTCCCCCTCTACCTGCTCGTGTCGGTCTCCTAGGCTTCCACCCCCTTCTTCCACAACACTCACTCACTCAAGGGCCAATCTTAGAAACTTTAGAATGCTGCCACCAAAAGCCATTATAGGGATGGCGTCAACACGGCTCAACATGAAAGAAGCTTGTCCTCCTTATGTTCCCTGGGACCCATTATATTCCCTCGGCAAATACAGTGGACTACTGGAGTAGAGACCTTGCCCCGGGTGTGGGTCACACTGGTCTGGCAATCAGGGTCAGACTCTGATAGATTTGGCAATTCTGAGCTTTTCCTCTATTGATCCCGACGACAATTCAAACTCCAGAGTTATTTACTTAAGCTCACGATGGCCCAAGCTAAACAAGCCACTGCTAAGGTCCCGCAGACCTGGTTTTCACAATCACATTCTGGAGTGGCCCAGGGAGACTAAGGATGGCCTCTCTTCAAACCAACAACTCTGACCTCCATCTTTTTCCTAAGTCGTTGCTCTTTTCTCAGTTGCCACTACGATCTGAATAAAAATGGGACTCAAAGCCAAGACGTTAAGAGTTCTTCGGGGAACCAACAGGACGCTGCTGATCAGAGGCACGGAGGTCAGCACCTGTGAGCCTTGTCCTTCAGCTGGTCCAGGAGACCAGCACCTGCGAGGCAGCTGGAGGGGAGCTGGAACCAGAGTCCGAGCTCCAAGGACGGTGCTGCGTGAGGCTTGGGTCTGAGAATCTTTCTTCTAATTACAGTCTTTAATGAAGATTGCTGGCTTGTTTTCTGGGGGCAGAGGTCTGTACTCTGAGTTACGAATATTTCTTTCTGTTGCTGGCTCACAGAAAGGACAGCATAGAATAAAACATGGAGATAATTTTTTTCTTGAAGGAATGGGTGTTTCATGTTGTCAAATGCCCTTTCCTCAGAGCTGATGGAAGTCCTTAGAACAGATGTGAGCCTTTAGTGTCACCATCATCTCCTACTGACCACTCAGTTTCATCCCAGTATGGATTTCGTGTTCTTGAATAAAATTTATGTGGGCATAGGGCAGGAAAATTCTTTCAGTAGATGGCTGGACGTGGGCTGCTGAATTTTACCTTTGCTGTCTCCTTCTAAGTGAGACAGAGCCTGCATGCTAACCGGCCTGGTTAGGCTACTGTCCTTGTCTCATCCTACTCTCAGGGTGTGTTGGCTTCAAAGAACATACTTGAAAGATTTCTATACACGTGGCTCTGAAACAGCATGACAGAGATGTAACCGCTCCTTCAAGGGGAGACAGAACTAAGCCATCCAAGTCCTCAAGGCCAGTAGTCTGAACAGAGCTAGAGCCTACAGTCACCTTTTCAATTTCTTCAAGCTGTTAATCTATTTATACTTTCCACTTCTTAGACATTACCTTTTCTTGGAAGATAGTCAATTTCATCTCAACCTCTAGAAATTAAAGTGTAAGTCTTTTTATGACTTTCAAACACTCTTCAAATGTATGGGAAATACTCCCTTTTCCGTCTCTTTATTTTGTGCCTCCTCATTCTTGACCAGGCTTTCCTGGAAGTTTCTGTTTTACAGGGGTTTTTAGTTTGTCAAATTTATTTTCTATTTCATCAAGTTATGCTTTTCCTTCATCCCGTTTAGATTATTTGGTCCCTAGTGTTTGAGTTAAGTATTTCACTTACTTTCATTAAGACTTTTGCTTTCTGCTAAGTACATTTAAGTCTGTAAGTTTTCTTTTTTCCTTTTTCTCTTTTTGGGGCGTGGGGTGGGACAGAGGGGAAGGGAGAGAGAGAATCCTAAGCAGACTGCACACTCAGCAGGACCCTGAGATCATGACCAGAGCCAGAATCAAGAGCCAGATGCTTAACCAAATGAGCCGCCCAGATGCCCATGCCCCTCTAAGTCTTCTTGATTACTGTTAAACTTAAAATTTCCATTAAAAAAAAAAATTAGGGGCACCTGGGTGGCTCAGTGGGTTAAGCCTCTGCCTTTGGCTCGGGTCATGATCTCAGGGTCCTGGGATCGAGCCCCGCATCGGGCTCTCTGCTCAGCAGTGAGCCTACTTCCTCCTCTCTGCCTGCCTCTCTGCCTACTTGTGATCTCTCTCTGTCAAATAAATAAATTAAAAAAATTAAAAAAAAAAAATTAGAAGAAAAATATATGCCTGAGAATATGAGTGAGTCTCTGTAATTTTCATTTTATGGAACTTGAGGGGTTTTGGTGGCCTAATAAACTGTATAATCATAAGCATATGTTTTTGTTCTTGGAGGCCATAAAGTCATCTACTGTACACATATCGATGAGAATATTAGGTCTTACACTACTCAAATCCTCTATCCTGGCATCTCTGGGTACATTTCCAGAAGGTGTGCTGGTGCTACAGTCTCCCACTATGGCGTGGTTCCTCTGGATGTGACCAAGTGGTAAGGAAGTCCATCAATCAATACCGTCCTTGTGGAAAGTTCTCAATCTAGGTTGTCTCAAAGTCAGTATCTCTGGGACCACATGTTCAGGAAGAACACATCGTGCGCATCTGAACTGGCAGACGGGGCTAGGGATACCACAGTGGGCAAAGCTGGCAGGAGAGATCAGATGCAGACAGTACACGTCCCTCTGACAGAGTCAGGGAGAGAAAGTAACTTCAATGCTGTTTAGAAGGTATTTAAAAATTGTCAAGAGCTGGGAAAGCCTGGTGCAGCCACTAGTCCAAGGAGCCTATGAAGAGCCCCGACATGCGGTCAAACTGTTTACGTTACATGATGCAGTATGAGAACTATTTCAGATGTGTTTCCAAAGCCCTGATCCCAGAGACAACTGTATCCTGGTCAAAAACTTCACACCTGCAACAAGGACCTGGGTGTGTGTGTGTGTTTTGTTTTTAAATCCCAATTCGATTCTGGGAATAAGAATTGAAGCAGAGATTATCTCCAAATGCCTCCTGTAGTCTAAAAACACCCAAATCAATACACTCTATGTTAATAAAAAATATATAGAATAAATAAAGACTAAAAAGGGAAAATAAACAAACACCCAAATCTCTGGGCCAGCCCCCCCTCCGGCAAGTGCAGCAGACATCCCATGGCCTTGCTGTTTTGGAGCTGTGGCGGTGTTAAATTTACTGGATTGGATGGAAGAGGCCCACAAGCCTAGTTAAAGTTCAACTTCTTAAAATCTATTTCTGCTGCTTCTGCTGCACATAGGAGACCCTGGCACGGTACAGCAGCAGGGATCAATGGTACCACTGGTATCTTTAGCTCCCTCTTTGGGCTAAGCTAACACTTGCAAAAATTCCTGGTGACTCCTGACAAGGACCCCGACTTTGGAAAATTACAGAATGTCAGCACAGACGTGTCTTAAGGTGCCTGAAGCTCTGGCTGAGCACAGCTCCTCTAAACTTGGGTCAGGCCCTCATGACATTTGGAGGCCGGAGGCCTGCCAGGACATAGGCTATTTATGAAACACCAGGTTAGGGAACCCACGAGTCTCACATTTCCGGAAGGAGAAATTCACTTCTTGGACTGTACTTCGTGAGGCTTTATTTTTAGTCTAAACTGAACACCAGTTTCCAAATGCCAAAGGGCAACCCCTAACCACTAGTCTTTACAGGGTAGCGTTTTTTTTATTCCAAACAGGAAGTAGCAGAAGTCAAGAGAGGGGAAAGTCATGCTCATTCATTTCTTCTGTATCAACGCCAGTATGAAATCCCATGGCTTATGATGCAGCCCAAAGAGTTTAAAAGGAACTGTCCCTCAGGGAACCTCCATTCCTCCCTCAATATAAGTTTGGAAACAGGAGTGGGGACAGAGCATGTCCCAGGAGTTGCCACCTGGTCCCTGGACAAGTCCTCCGCCCACAGCGCAAGTCAGGTCCTACACAGCCTCAGCAGACACACTCCTCCCGGGCTGCCGGAGAAGCGTGCGGACTTTATTTCAATGCACCTGGGAACCCCTGGGAAGAGACAGGCCAGCCACACAGCATTGAGCAAACAGGGTATTCTGTGCTGGAGTGTCGGTACGGAGACTCACCACTTAACTCGCAGTGGTAGAAACCCCTCTCCTGGACCTGCTCAGTTATCTTGGGTCTAAACTAGGCCAGAAATCTGTCTGCAGGATGACCTTTTGGTTCACCTCTGCAACAGGAACTGTTACAGAGACCCAGGGGTAGGTGGTGTTAAGCACTGTGGCCATGGTACCTAATAGCTTACACGCCGTTCTCCAGAAGACCCTTCCACTCTTTTCTAAGTTTCTTTATTTTCCCAGCAATCTCTACACCCAACGCGGGCCTGAACCCCCACCCGAGATCAAGAGTTGCATGCTCTGCTGCCTGAGCCAGCCAATGTCGCAACCCTGGCAACTTTTGTCACCACAGGTGTGTGGGAAAACCATGGCCAATAACCAACGAGGTTGTCTCCGTGTAAGGAGACTTGGCCAAGTAGGATAGCAGGAGATGGGGGAAGGACAGCAGGGACAGGCCAGTGAAGATGATCTCTGCACTAGCTCTAAACCCCAGATGCTTTCTTGCCTGATTCTGTGTGGCTAAATGAACAGAGCACTGGCACCCAATTTCCTGCACGCTGCCCCAGGGGCCAAACCGTCTAGCTGAGGCTCACCTCATGGGTTCCATGAGAGAAGTTCAGACGAGCCACATTCATTCCAGACTTAATCATCTCCTTCAGCATCTCAACCGATCGGGAAGCTGGGCCTAGTGAAAAAAAAAATTTTAAAGCCAAAGTGTTAATTATTCAAAGGAGAAATAACACCTTTAAGTTTGAAGAGCCCTTGATAGTCTTTTCCCCTGAATTTTCCTCCTACAAATTGCTCAAGGTTCTTTCAAAAGCAGATAAAGGTTGTTACTGTGTTTTGTTCACTTTCTTGATTTAAGGGGACATTTCTCCTATTCCAATCAAATCCTACATGCTCCTATCTAACAAGGAAAGCCTAAATGAGACTCCGCCAACCCTCTCTACTCTCCCCCCGAAGCCTAGCCAGTTTTCCCACCACAGAATCTTGGTTGCACAGAGCATGTTGAAAAGCTCTTCCCTAGATTTCTGAGATGCTCCTAGAAGATGTGCTAAGGAAGACACCATCAAAATTCTGCCTTTAGCAGCAAACACAGAGCATGCAAATTCCTTACCACAACTTCCTAGGACCCTAGTCCCCACAAGACCCTGTGCAGCGTCTCGCTCAGCACCCAGGTTTACCATGTGTGTCTCTTCTGGAAAGAAAAGATCATGGCCCTATGAAGCCCTTGTTTTGCGGGGGCACAAACCGCTCACCGATGGTACAGATGATGCCAGTGTTCCGGGCCGTGATGGGTGGTGAATCGATGTCCAGACGGCACATGTGTTCCAAGAACGTGTCAGCCATGGCTGCGTGCAGCTGCTGGGTCTGGATGAAGGCCGTGCCGACATCACTGTGAGGCTTCGACATGGCTGCTGAGGTCCTGGATCCAGGGGAGCTGAAGAGGGAGAGTGACCAGTCTGAGAAGCCAGGTGGTTAATACAACCCTTGGCACAGGAGGCGGTTTCCCGCGTACACATTAACTCAGTAAGCACACTTGTGCACAAGTCACACGGAGCCCCGCCATGCTCCGGCCGTGTGGGCGCTCCTCAAGTTGGGCTGAGGGTTCACGTGACCACATCGGACTTTAAAGAACAATTTAAAACCTCGTACCCAATGCAGTACTTCCCAAGTATCCACCGTAAACAGACCTCCCTTACGATGGGCTACTCTCCACCTTGACAGTTTTCCTGTTAATCCTACAAGTAACATTTCACAGCCACTACCTCCAAATCACAGGCACTGCCTCCAAAGAAAGTTGTAACCCATCTTCCAGTGAAATAACCAGTAACATAAAAACAGACTCCTCCTTTAGTACCTTGGCAAATACAGTTTTTTGTATGATAAGCTATCCCAAAGCTATAAATGTCTGCTATAGGGCGGGGCATCCACATTGGTTTTTAACAATTCCCACCCAAACTCGGAAGTTACCTTCCTGGTTGCAAAGACAACCACCATCCAGGCAGTCCTTTGAGCTCTGGAAGCCGAGTTTTTCACTAACCCGAACACTACCTACATTCATTTCTCAACTCAGTCTGGTAGGGGAGCAGGTCCCAGGTCCCTGACAGACAGTAAAAACCAGTCCCTGGACAGGAAGCAAAGATGATCCAAAACGCTGTGTGCAGAATCTTTTGCCCCAGGAGTCTGTACCTAAAAACGACAATTACCTTTGGTCCGCAGGACTTCAGGACCTGCAAAGCAATTTGCATAAACCAGAGATAACCCCAATGGCACGGGTCTGGTTCTGAAAACATTAGTGCTACTTTCACAGGATGGTTATAGCATGAGGAAATTAAGACGGCTTGCCAAATCCTCTTCCCAACTGATTTTCTATTTTCTGATACATCATCCCAATTCCCCTTCTGCCCAGTACACTGCAAAGACTATTTGGTTCAGGTAATTAACCAGGCCAGGTCACAATCCTGACAGCTGGTCCTGACCTTTGCCTTCTTCGTTACTGACTAACAACTAAACTCACTCAGCCAGTTAGTAAACTGATTACAAAGACCTAAAGCAGCTTCCAGGCAATGTCTGAAGAACCATCAGGTAAGGATGTGAGTGTGAAACCTGACACTCCTTATCACAAGGCCGTCCCTTCCTCCAGCTCTCCTCCACCAAGGGCTACTCCTTAAGACCCTTGAGCCTGAAGGCTTCAGCCCAGGCTCCAGAACAAGCCCTCCTCAGCCCTGTCCCAGCTCCTCCTAAATCTCAGGGCTCTAAATCAAGGCACCCCACATATATCACTTTTACTCTTTCTCCTCTTCTCCTTGACTTTGTGGCCTCTTTTTTTTTTTTATTTTTTTAAAGATTTTATTTATTTATTTGACAGAGATTGCAAGTAGGCAGAGAGGCAGGCAGAGAGAGAGGAGGAAGCAGGCTCCCTGCTGAGCAGAGAGCCCGATGTGGGGCTCGATCCCAGGACTCTGAGATCATGACCCGAGCCGAAGGCAGCGGCTC